AGCACAAATGGACAAGTCATTAACCAGCTCCTTTGGTCTGTGTAACAAATCCCTTCAAAGGATTAGATGGGGGACTTCAAAGGAATAAAAATTCTCAAAACCAGACAGCTAATGAATCTTAAAAGGGCATTTGCGCGGACGGGAAAACGGTGTTTTAAACAACCCTTTCCCCCCGCGTTAACACTAGGGGACGGGCTGGAGGCGCAGGGGCTGGGCGCAGGGAAACACTTCCAACCAGTAAGAGGCTCAGAAAGCAGATGCGGCAAAAGCGCATGAGAGCTCTAGTTCTCTGACCCCAACCCTTAGAAGGCTGTGATGAAAGCTGTGAGGCTCCGATCCCCAGAAACATTCACCTAGACACCAACTGTGCCCTAACTTCCCAGGTTCACCGGCCCCCATCGGAGGACTCCCCTCCCCTCCGGCGGCCGGAGCGAGCTCCGAGGTGGACGCTCACACCCCCTCCCCCGCCGGTCCCCCGGCTCTGCTGGCGGCTGCTCCACCTGCGGGCCGGGAAGGAGGCCGGGAAGCGGGCTGTCGGGCGCTGGGGAAGCCCCCCTGGGAATGTCCCCCTTTCCAGGACCACATGGACAAAGAGAAAGGGTCCCGAGCAGGAGCGAGAGGGGCGAAGGGCGCAGAACCAAGCCCTCGGCGCTCTCGGGACTGCACCTGCGCGCCTCCGCGCTCCCCCGGTGCCCGCTCCGGTGCAAACTTTCTGGCCCGCGGTGGCTTTGGGAGCCTCCCGGGGAGAGGGGAGCAACCCGCACGGGCGCAGGGGCGCCAGGCTGACCCCCTCTCCCTCCCGCCCGCCGCCCAGCCCCCTTCCCAGTCCCCCCAGGGTCGCCGCGAGCAAGGAGAGCCCCGAGCGAGCGAGGCAGAAGGAGCCAAGGGCACGCCGCGGGCGCGCACCTGGAGCCTTCGCGCCAGCCGCCCCGCTCCCCGCCTCCCAGGGGCGCGAGGTCGCGGGCACCGCGCTCCCCGGTGGCAGGGGCGCTACACTTACTCAGACGGGTCCAGGCTCTTCCTCTCGATGGCCGAGGACATTGGGGAGGGAGGTGGCGTGCCAGGCGGCGGGGGCGCTCCCTTTGTGGCTCGGTGCTGGCCGGCGGCCGGGACTCGGACCCCCTCGGGTGCTCGGGCGCCGCCGCTCCTGCGCCTCTTCTGGCCGGGGCGCTCCGGCGGCGAGCTCGCCCCTCCGCGCTCAAGGACAGTCACCGCGCTCCCTTCAAACGCCAAAGAGAGAGAGCGAATCACCGGGCTGCCGGGCGCCGCGGCCGAGCGGGGGACCGGGGCGCGCAGCCTGGCCCTGGCGGCTGCAGCAGCTGCTGCTGCTCAGGACTTAACCTTCCATCCCGGTCCCGCCGGCCGCCGCCGCCGCCGCCGCCGCCGCCGCCCGGTCCGGTCCGGTCCGGCTCGGCTCGCGCGCGGTCGCACGCTCTCCGCCGCCCGCGGGATGGTGCGCGCCCGCCTGGCCGCCCGGAGCCCCTCGCACCTTCCCCCCGGGGCGCGGCGCGCAGCTCGCCGCCGAGGGCAGGGAGGGGGCGGCGGCCTGGGGGCGGGGAGGGGATCGCGCCTCTCTCCCTGGGCTCCCCCCTCTCTCGGGAAGGTCTATTTTCGCTCAGCTTCCCTCTGTCTCTGGTTTCATTTCCTTTTCCTGATCACGATTCAAATACAATAGAAGGAAATCACATTTAAAGGGACAGCTGCCCGGTAGCCCCCACCCCCATTTTTTCTTTTTCTTTTTTTTAATGGGGCTCCTGGGGATTTGCAATACAAACAGCAGCAGCAGCAGCAGCAGCAGGACAGACTTGGCTTCTTAAAGGGGCCAGCGTTGGGGACAGGGAGTCGCTCAGTGAACCTCTCTCCTTGGAGAGGCGGCTGGGCTGCCTCTAATCATTCCCAGGGCTTCCCCTCTTCGCTTCCCTTTTGGTTAACGAAGGCTATAAAAGTAACCAGCGGGCTGCTCAGAAAGAAAGAAAAGGCAAGAGTGTGAAATAAGCACATACAGAAAGGCAAGCGTCCCGAGTGGCTTCCGCGCCCGTCCGGGGTTCGAGGTCCCAGGTCCCAGGTCCCAGGTCCGCGGTTGTGCTGCGCGGGTGCCCGGGACAGCGCGGCTCTGCGGGCCGCGGGCTTGTGTCCGCTCTCCAGACAGGCGACTGGAGCTGTGCAAGCGAGGACTGCGCGGGCCGGGTCTGCCTGAGCGCCGCCAGGGCTGCTAATCCCAGAGGGAGGGTGGTTGGGAGGGACCACGCTGGTCTAGTCTCCTCTCCTCTCCATCTGCTGGCGGACGAATTCCCTCCCTCAGCATCTTTGAAAAACCAGACTCCTGCGGCTAACCTGCCCGCCCCCCCCGCCCCCCCCGTAAAATGCCAGCCATACGCTCTGCACAAGAGAAAGTGCCTTTCCGCTGATGGAGAGCAATGAATGATCAAGGGACCATTTTGCCCTGGGTCAGGAGAATAGGAAAAAGCCAGACTTGATTTTGGAGTTCAGCTTTCCCCTCTAACCTCAAGGGCAAATTCTAGGAAGAGGGGCGAGATACAGAAGGGGAGAGGAAGCTAAATGTCTGCCCTTCTGTATAGAAAAACTTTGGGTCCCTTGGGCCATGTCAGAGTTCCTTCAAAAGGATCACATTCAGAAATTATTATTAAAGGCCCATTTGTGCATGACGCGCCAGTCACCAATCTTATAAAGAGGAACCTGCCAAGTACTTTCAGACGCTGTAGGATGTTTTTATAATGAAGCGTCTGGATCACAGTGATAGTCATTTTACTCCCATTTTACAGATGGCAATGAAGGGCCTAGATGAGTTCGCCTTGAAATGTTGTGACCGAAGTCAGAAGTGAATCCCTGGACATTTCCTTTTCCCTGTCCAGAGCCAAACCCTCACTGACTTTTTACAAGTAAAACCAGAATTCACTATCGTGTGCATGTCCAAAGCTGGGGTCCCTAATGGGCACAGTTAAAATCCGTCCCTGTGTGTGAGTGTGGAAAGGAAGCCTTACGAGCAGCTTTGGGTCCAAGTCAAGCCTTAGTATGTAAAACGACATTCTCCTGATCAGATTCTTCTGGGTGTTTTGTTTTTTTCTCCAATCTTTCTTTAGATCCTTGTCTTTCAAAGGAAAACCCCTAGAACTCCTTAGGCCAGCCTAAATTCTGTGATAAACATGTAAACTGCCACTCTACGATCAGAAATGAAAATGAACGTATAGGTTGTGATCGGCAGTTTACATCCTTGCAACCTACATGTCAGTGTGGTGGTAAAATGCCAGGACTTGGGAACTGCACTGCCTGGGCTTGATGCAGGCTCTTATTGAACAGCCAGTGTGGCCTAGGAACGTTCCGGAGCCTGAGGAGCCAGTATTGGGCCGTGGCTCCACAGTCAGATTGCCTGTGTTCCACCTGTGTGAACCTGGGCTCGCAGCAGGAATTGAAACTCATCTATAAAATGGGGGTGCCAGACCTACTGCTTCCGTTGTTGTGAGGACTGAGTGACTGCGTGCAAAGTGCGGCACACAGACTTGTAGTGGAGTGGGGGTGATAACATATGAGATTAAATGCATAGAAAGCTCTTGGCGTATATTAAGTGCTCATAACTGGCAGCCGCTATGTTAGAGCAAAAACATCCTCGGGAGAATTTAAAAAGCGCTTGAATCCAGCAATTCCACTTCTGGGTATTTATCTGAAGAAAACAGAAACTGCAAGTCCTGCCCTAGCCAGTTTGGCTCACTGGATAGAGCGTCGGCCTGGGGACTAAAGGGTCCCAGGTTCGATTCCGGTCAAGGGCATGTACCTTGGTTGCAGGCACATCCCCAGTGGGGGGTGTGCAGGAGGCAGCTGATCGATGCTTCTCTCTCATCAATGTTTCTAACTCTCTATCCCTCTCCCTTCCTCTCTGTAAAAAATCAATAAAAATAAAAAATAAAAGAAACAGCAAGTCCAAAAGATATATGCACCCCAATGAACATGGTGTCTTATTTACAATAGCCAAGATATGGAAAAAATCTAAATGTTCATCATTAGGTGAATGGATAAAGAAAATCCTATATAATAAAAGCCTAATATGCTAAGTGTTCAGTTGTCCAGTCAGCCATTCAACCAATCAAAGTATAATATGCTAATGATATGCTAAAGCCACTCAATTGCTCGCTATGACATGCACTGATGTGACCACCAGGGGGCAGATGCTCTGACCAGTAGGTTAGCTTGTTTCTGGGGTCTGGCTGATCGGGACTGAGTGAGACAGGCCGGGGTCCCTCCCCAGCTGGCCACCCTCCTGCATCCTGGCCTGAGCCCTCTCACAATCCAGGCTGAGGGGTCTCCCTCCCTGCCCCCGCACCCGAGTGCACAGATTTCATGCACAGGGCCTCTAGTGTTGTATATTAGCCATAAAAAAGCAGGAAATCCTGCCATTTGTGACAACATGGATGGAACTTGAGCTTTATGTTAAGTGATATAAATCAGACAGAGGAAGACAAATACTGTATGATGTCACTTATACTAGTATGTGGAATCTTAAAAATAAAAAATAAAAACCTAACTCATAGATATAGAGAACAGACTTGTGGTTGCCAGTGGGTGGTGTTGGTGTGTGTGGGCGAAAGGAGTCAAAAGGCACCAACTTCCAGCTATAAAATAAATAAGTCCTGGGTACGTAATGTACAACATAGCGACTGTAGTTAATACTGTGTGCTTGAATATTGCTAAGAAAGCAGATCCTAAAAGTCCTCATCATAAGAAAAAAAAAATTGTAACTATGTATAATGACATGTTACCTAGACTTATTGCGGTGACCATTTCACAATATCTACAAACACTGAATCACCATGTTGTGCACCTGAAACTAATATAATGTATGTCATTTACATGTCAAAAAATAAATACACAAATAAAGCTTGAAATTAAATTTGAAGACAAGAATGTCCCACCCAAATTAAAAACAGTTTTCTATGTTTAAAAAGCAAACAGAGCAGGGTCCCTTTACCTCACCTCTGATTGCTGCTCAACAAAACATAAGCATTTTCCATTTTAGTGTTCACTACCTTGGTGAGAAGGTGAGACTCTTGGAACTGCTTGCTCTTATTAAATCTGATAAGTTGCTGACCTCCTTGCTACTGTTTTGCATGGGGCTCAAGTTAGTTGTTAAAATAAATATAATCCTTGGGTTCCAGGAGGTAACCTCTGAACAACCAACTTTGGGGCATAAAGTTTCCTTTGAATAATCGGCTCCTGTTTTGACCTGAGTGCGTAAAGAAAAAAGAGTGATTACTGCCTGTGACTTTGGGTCAGTTTCTTATCTTTCACAACTCTTTGGGGAGAACTTCCTTAGAGAAGGCGAATATTTGAAATGGTATCTTCAGATTTCAATTTCACACACAGTGGTTGGAAGAAATAACTGCCGACCGGTGGGATTTCATTTCTATTCAACGGGCAATTGAATTGCTCAAATTTAAGCTTAACATTTAGAATCAAGTCTCAAAATGCGCTTTTATTATGAATAATTTTAAAGCCATCATGACCTTATTATATCTTTCCACAACAACCTTATTTATACCCTACGCAAAAGAGGGACTCAGTAACTATGAGGCGACCGGAACGTGTAAAACGGTTCTTTAGAGTTGGGGAAATCCAAGCTTGAGGCCTACCCAGTGGGATTGCAATTTAATTCCTTCTTCCCCTCCCCTCACTCCTTGCCACTCTTAAATACCCTAAATTTAGAAATTTTCCAAGTTTTCCTTCCGGAACACGAATGTCAGAAGGAAACCAAATCAGTCTACATGATGAACCTGACCCCAGGTGGCTCACTTCTTTCCTGTTGGCATTTTCTATTCTTTTTACTTATTACATTTACAATTGTTTTCTAGGGAAGAGCAGCTTCAAGTGACTAAGGCAACGTTTCTTTGCGAAAATGGACTTCTAATAGAAATAAAAATGCAAATGTCATTGGGAAAATGCCAAGAATGACAATTTACTTCTTTTATTCTTTTTCCTAAATGTTAGAAGCCAAGTTGCCTCACATACCTGTTAGCTGTGACATTCTCATATAGGAACAAAAATAAAGCTTTGTTTTGATATGGCTTCAGTTCCCGTGCAAAATTCTTAAACTCCTCAATTGTCACAGGCATCTGGCTCCCAAACGTATTTCAGAACATTTCAGGGCTGGTGGATGGACATGTTTCACAGAATGTTCAACCTCTTAGTAACTTACTGATAAATCAATCAGGTTTCCTATCTAGTAGAAAAGAGACCCTCTTCCCCAAATGCAAAGAAAATCCATATCAACTGAGTTTAGGAAAAATAAGCATAGGTGTCAGACAGGCATAGCTCACCTGTTGACCAGCTGTGTGATTTGGGGGAAGTTGCTTCACCCCTCTGAATCTCAGTTTCTCTACCTGTTCATGAAAGCAATCATAACACTCAGCAGGGCTAGAACTAGGGCAAGGCCACTGGGATGCCAGCTCACCTCACAGGAATTTTGAGAGGATTCGATGTGTGGAGAAATGCTTTGCCCAGGGGCGGCATATAATAAATGCTCAGAAATGATAGCTGTTGTCATTACTCCATCTTTCAGAAGTAATCACGGCTGGATCAGCAAGCAATAATCCCTCCGCGAGTCAGGACGTCCGCCAAAGCATGCTGAGATGGAGGCACTTTAGAAAGAGCAGTGGTGTGCCCAGGCCGTCAGCTGGCCCCAGGCTTGGTGAGCCAACAGTTTTCAGCCAGAAACACTGGATTGTGCCCATTGTAGGCTGCTGACAGCTTCACGGCTTCCCCCCCACACACTGCCTGCTTCTGACACATCCCTGATTTCATTCATCTGGTTTCCCTCTTCCAGTAAGTCCTAAATCACCTTCTACAACAAAGACAAGAGGCAAAATCCAGTGCTGAAGTAACTGACACAAATGTCACAATTTCACAGCGAGGTCTTAGCAGAGTTAAGTGCATAGCATCCTAGTGGAGGGGGCTCAGGAATGGGATTTCCCAGCTTGCTCCTTGGATCTCTAAGGTGCCTCTGGAATGGGCTTCCCCTGCCCCTGCTCTAACCTCAGCAGCTTCATACTTGACCACGGACATGCTGTTCAACCTCTCTGGACTTCAGCTCCTGCATCTGTAAAGTCGGCATATCAGAGTACCTGTCTCATGGAGCTGTTATTACATTTCTGTGAAGTGAAACAAATAAGGTGCCCGCAAGGAGATTGCCACGTAGCAAGCTTCTGGGGGAGGTTTTGCATATTCCAGCTTTAAAATATTTGAACACTCACCGATAACTCAGACACCCTTGGATGGACAAGGCAAGTGAGGCATAGAGTCAATAGCTCCTTCTTCCAGCTCTGCTACCATTACACCCTCCCTCATCTCTCTCTTGGGCACTGGACCCTGAATTTATTTGATGCTCTGAGGTCAAGGGGGAGTCAGAGCTGGGGGAGCTGGCTCACTGAGCTGCCCTTGTGCCCTTTGTTTATGCAAACTATCTCCTTTCTTTAGCCACTCAGAGAGCCCCAGCTGAGTGACACACCACAGTTCCCCAGAAATCCGCGCTCGGATTGTGGCGTAGAAGGCCTCATACTTTCTCCACCACAACCCCCTCCTTCTCTCTGTTGGAACCACAGTGACCCTTTTTCTATTTATTGAAAAAAAACCAAAACAGGTCCTACTGGAGGCCTTTCCCACCTGCTCTTTCCTCTATTAGAGCTGTTTAGCCTCTAGATCAGCGGTTCTCAACCTGTGGGTCGCGACCCCTTTGGGGGTCCAACGACCCTTTCACAGGGGTCGCCTAAGACCATCGGAAAACACATATATAATTACATACTGTTTTTGTGATTAATCACGATGCTTTAATTATGTTCAATTTGTAACAATGAAATTGGGGGTCACCACAACATGAGGAACTGTATTAAAGGGTCGCGGCGTTAGGAAGGTTGAGAACCACTGATCTAGACCATCCTAAGGTTCCCACGTTCTTCATTCAGTTCTCTGTTCAAATGTTTTATCCTCATAAGAGTTTTAAAAAATCTTTTATCCTGCTTTATTTTTCTTCCTAGTGTCATTATTACTTCTGCTTTACCACATATGTTTGTTGTTGTTGTTGTGTTGTTGTTGTTGTGTGTGTGTGTGTGTGTGTGTGTGTGTTGGCCTTTCTTCTTGGCTAAAATATAAATTCCATGAGGCTCAACGTTCTTTATGACTTGTTTTCAGTTGCATCTTTAGCACCTAGAATGTGCCTAGCATGCCAGGCCCTGGAGAGAACAGAATGAATGAATGAATGAATGAATGAATGAATGAACAAATGGCAGCCCCGCTGCCCATGGCCAAAGCACTACATTCTCTGGGTAAAAGTTACGAAGGACCCGGAAGATCCCTTGTCTTTCTCAAGTATCACTTTGGGGAGAAGATAAGGGCCCAGATAGCTTTCAGATTTGGGCCCAAGAGTTTGGGGAAAAGATCAGGCTCTTGGCTCTTAGGAACATTCAGGTCAGGGGGTGTGGAGGAGCAATGAGGCCACTCTTCGAAGCGTGGCTCTCCGCTGTAGGGCCCACATGCCCACAGGAGACGTGGCTGCAGTGAACCAGGGAGTAGAACGCACTCGACCACAGGGGTGAAGGCACAGGCTATGGAAATAGACAGACTCAGGTTTCAGTCCTGGCTCTCTTAGCTACACGGTTTTAGGCAAATTATTTGACTACTCTGAGCCTCAGTTCTGTCACGTGTAAAATGGGGATAATTATATCTTCATCACAGGGTTGTAGGAATAAAATGAGATCATGCATGTCAAATGCTTAATACAATGCTCAATGGATGGCAGCCATTATTAGAATTAATTAAGCAGAGAACCTCAGAGGAGGACAGTCAGCCAGGGCAGGCCTCTCTTGGCTGGACATGGGTAGATAATGGAATTCTGCTGCAATGAGGGCTCAGCCCCCTTTCCAGGGGGATGCTTGCCTGATCTTACCTGCTCTGTGACTCCCATGGTAAGGAGGGTTAGGCTTACAGACGCCTGGCCCGGCCTCATGCTCAGGAAGGTGATAAAGAGAGGGCACCAGGAGACTGTGCTGGCCACCGGCTCTTCAGAATTGGAGCGGGAGGGCGGGGTGGGTTTACTGGTCTGAGACACTGCACTGCAGACAGGCCTTCCACTGAGGGAAGGGGCCGGGCTGCTTCTGGGGAAGCTTGTTTTCTGGGAAGCTGGCTGAGAAGATGGAGCCTGGTGGGGAAGGTGATTCTGACCCTCTTAAGGACACTCACCTTTCAAAGCTTCAAACCTCAGCGGGAAGGAGTCTTGTCTATGATGCTCCCTAGAAATACCCTTTAGCAAAAACCAGGAAAGGAGCTGTGTGCTTTTTTTCTGCTTCCCTTCAGTTGCAGTTGCCCTTCATGTATCTTTTTGCCAAGCTAACCACTCTGGGATATTGTTTTCTTCACTGTCACTACTCTGGTCAAGAACTTGCAATGGCTATTGGGACCTCAATGTTCTCATCTATAATAATAAAAGAGTAATATACTAATTAGATTGGATGTCTTACTGATGTCATTCTGGACATCCTTCCTGATGAAGCTGGGGCTGGAGGGAAGGCGGTGCTGGCAGCCAGGGGAAGGAAGGCCTACTCTTGTACAAATTTTCATGCATCGGGCCTCTAGTTTTTTATAAAGGGAAGAGATAGACTGGAAGGTTAGAGCTGCAGCTCGATGTATGACCCTGTCTTTCTTGCAGATTAAGACCCAATCCCCTGTACTCCCATTAAAGGTGCCCTGTGATCCTGCCCATTCCATCAATTCAGCTTTATACCCCTCAGCCCTAGAGCCTGAGCCTTCCCAACCAGGCAGCTTGGTCCTCCTTGATCTCAGACACCCTGCTCATGTCCATCTTGATTCATTGTCTTATTCTGTTTTCTCCTTCTTGGATGTTTGCATGGCCTGTGTTTCAAACCTTTGGTGCCCAAATTGTAGACTGGTTAAGAACAGAGGCTTTGGAGATAAATAAACCTGGTTTCGAGTCTCTGCTTCACAACTTACTATCTGGGTAATTAATCTTAGGCAAATCTCTGAGCTTCAGTGCTTGAGACGATAAAATGGAGACAGTGATAAATGCAAGGTTAGGAGGAGTAACTGAGATAATGTATGCGGCAGGCAGAGCACAGTGTCTGGCACAGGGAAAGTGCTCGGTAAGTGGCAATCATTGCTGCAGTTAGTTTAAAATCCTCCCCAGTCTCTCTGCTTCTCCCAAACGTGTCTATCATCTTGGACCCCGCCAAGCCTGAAGGTTTCTCTGTTGCCTGAAGCTCATGGTGGCTGATCCTTTCCTGAGTTCTCATAGCTCTTGGCTATCGGGCCAGGTTAGGTGCTCACGGACTCTGTCTTGCAGCGCTCTGATTTCATGTCTGAGCAGCATCTTGCTACCTCAAAAGTGCCTTACATTCCTGGAGAAGAGAGGCCTTGATTATCATTTTCATTAGCTCCCAGGGTATTGTTATAAATTTGGAGATCCTCAATAATTCCTTTTCAGTCAAAGGCTTCAAATATCACGTCCTTGCTGTCAATTTCACAATTCCAAGATTCACATTGACAGTCACCAAGACCCGAGGGCCTTCACGTTAGGGAGGAAGGTCTCCCCAGAGTCAGCATTGAGGGTGGCCCATGCACTGCCGTTCACAGACCTCTTAGAAACCTGGGAGCTAACGTTCTAAAACTCTCAGAAGAAAACATGGGGGAAATCTACATGACATTGGATTTAGCAGTGACTTTGTGACGATGACACCAAAAACACGGCAGCAAAAGAGGTAAATTGGATGACATCAAAGTTAAAAATGTTTCAATATCAAAGGACGTTATCAACAAAGTGAAAAAGCAGCCCATGGAATGGGAGAAGATATTTGCCAACCATATACCTGAGAAGAGGTTAATATATAAAGATCTCCTACGATTCAACAGAAAAACCAAACAACCCAATTAAATCATGGACAAAGAACTTGAATAGACATTTCTCCAAAGAAGATGTATAAATGGTCACTAATCACTAGAGAAATGCAGATCAAAACCACAATGAGATACCACTTCATACCCATTAGAGAATGGCTATTATTATTATTTTTTTTAAATAGAATGTTTTCTTAATATATTTTATTATTAATTTTTTTACAGAGAGGAAGGGAGAGGGATAGAGAGTTAGAAACATTGATGAGAGAGAAACATCGATCAGCTACCTCCTGCACACTCCCCCGCTGGGGATGTGCCCACAACCAAGGTACATGCCACTGACCGGAATCGAACCTGGGACCCTTCAGTCCGCAGGCCAATGCTCTATCCACTGAGCCAAACCAGTTAGGGCAAGAATGGCTATTATTAAGAAAGAAGGAAAGAAAGAAAGAAAGAAAGAAAGAAAGAAAGAAAGAAAGAAAGAAAGAAAGAAAGACGTTTTGGAGGAGATGTGGAGAAATTGGAACCCTTGTGTACTGCTGGTGAAAATGGTACTGCTATACAGAACACAGTATGTACATCCCTCAAAAATTAAAAATATGACCCAGCAATTCCATTTTTGGGTATATACTCAAAAGAATTAAAAGCAGGGACTCAAACAGATATTTACGTACATGTTTACAGCAGCATTATTCACAGTAGCTAAAAGATGGAAGCAACCCAGGTGTCCACAAACAGATGAGTGGATTCTTTAAAAAGTGGTATATGCAGACAATCAAGTATTATTTCACCTTTTAAAAGGAAGGGAATTCTGACACATGCTACAACATGGATGAACCTTAAAAACATTATACAAAGTGAAATAAACCAGTCACAAAAGGACGAAGACTGTATAATTCCACTCATATGCGGTAACTAGAGTAGTCAAAGTCCTAGAGACAGAAGGTAGAATGGTGGTTGCCAGGGACTGGGGGTGGGGCAGGGGGAGGGGAGAGTTATTGTTCAGTGGGTACAGGGGTACACTGTTGTTTCAGTTTGGGAGAATAAAAACAACTCCTGGAGATATAAAAATGCCTAACCGCCATGCTATACCTGAAAGTAACATAATATTGAATGTCAACTGTAATTGAAAAATTAAAAAATGAGAGATTTTTTTGGGAAAGTTCTGGAAATGAATGGCAGTGCTGGTTGCACAACAATGTCAATGTGCTTAGTGCCCCTGAACTTGGGCCTGGTGAAAATGGTAAATTTTACGTTACATGTATTTTACCACAATAATAATAAAAATAAAAAAACTGGTCACAGACCATTCCCTAGGTACACATCGGTGCCAGCATACAGAAGTTTACCTCTCATTTCAGGGAGCTCACAACCTTCTCAGGTTCATCTATCGACCCATTTAACAACCCCAGTGCTATGGGGAAGCCGTTCCCATGAGCTCAAAGATGTTCTTCACGTCCCCTAATGTCAACCCTTGCCCCCCTCGGCCTCTGTGAGCGGGCTGGGTCCCTGACTTCCAGATGATCTTCTTTGTGGAGCTCTCTTGGCTCCAAGGAGGGCGGGGGAAAGGGTGCAGTTTGTTACCATGTAAAGCCACATCCTTAAAGGACCGCCATGCTCTTATAGATATCCATCTGCCCTCTCTGAGAATTGGGAGTTAGAGTGTAGCCGGCACAGGTTCTGTTTTGGGGGGTGGGGGGTGGAAGAAGGGGGGCTCCTGTAAGCAGAGCATCTTTAACGCCCCTTCGGGCCACAGCCCCTCTCCAAAGGCCCAGGGCCAGCTCAGCTTCTCTCACACTCTCAGGCGACACTGCTTCCCATCATACCGAAGAAGGCTGCCCGGGGCCATATCTTGCAAAGGAAGAACTATTAAAAAACATTCCATTTGTATTTCCTGCATGGCCCTCCATCTGGAAATATCTTTTATCTGGCAACTTTTGCAAAGCGAACTGAATCTTGAAGGCGGTCCTGGCAGGTTTATGCTGGCTCCTCTATCACTCCAATAAGTCATTTCCATCCTAACCTTCACGGGGGTCGCATAATCGTGACTTGGTAGCAGAAACAGGCCCGGAAGGGAATGGCAGCAAGTTTTTCAGGCCCTCAGTCCTCCTTTTCATCCTGAAAACACCACTTGGAGGGCAAGAGCGAAATCCAGCAAAGTACTGAACACACTCTCTCGGCTCAAATATTGCTTCTTCAGGGAAGTGCCCCTGACCCCCGTGACCACATTAGGACCCACCACTAGAAGATTGCACTCCCAGGTTGGATCACAATTTGTATAAACGCCACGTTCTGTGATTGTTAAGTGCTATTCGGCTCCCCCAACGCCTGCACGCTCCTACATGCTCCATGTCTAGCGTGTAGCAAGTTCCCAATCAATATTTATGGAAGGAATGAATGAATGGACAAATGAATGAATGAAACTCATCTTACCTGCCTCTCCCCCAGTTCCTTCAGGTCCAGGATGAAAAATAGCTTCTTTTCAGAACTGTTGTTCCTGAAAGAAAATGAGAGGAACTCTCTGGTAGGAGCTAGAAGTAGAATGGAGGGGGGCAGGGAGTTCTTTATCTTCAGCTAGAGAAATGTTTCCCCAGGTCCTTGATAAACTAGGGACAAATGCCCCTGGGCTTTCTGATAGTGTGAGGGTCCTCGATAGTGTGGCTGGGTGGGGCCGGCGGAGCGTTGGCATCTCGGCAAAGGGATGGATTCTAACGGTTTCTCCACTGGTTGAAAAGGCTGCTTCCTGCCCGACTTTTTTTTCTCTCCGTTGTGTACCAGTTTAGTTTACACACGTGGAGGAGCGGCCCACTTCTCCAAACGCTCAGCCGGCGTGTCCGGCACTGTCCTCATGGCAGCTGCGGTGGCGGCTCAGCTGGATGCTCCCGCTGGTCTGGGAAGGGGAGCGTTCTGTCTGTGTCTCACATTCCTTTGGGTTTCAGAAATCACCCCAGTTGCTACCTGCCCACCACCCCCCCGCCCCCCGGCCCCAAGTTAGGGCAGGTAGCCAGGCTTCCGTTTGATCAGAGAGGAAATTAGGCCGAAGTTATTTCAAATCTTAAACCTGCCTAAAGGAGAGACACAGGACACATATCACAGGACACATATTCATTGGACAGCCCGACCACTGCACAGACACGGGCACACAGCTGCATGGCCTGGGCCGTAACCTCCTTGGGGGCCAAGGCCTCTCTGAAGCACTGCATTAGGATCCCTGCCCTCAGTTCACAACTGGAATGTGTTTAAAAATGTTAGCAAGGCCCGGCCGGTGTGGCTCAGTGAGTGAGCATTGACCTATGAACCAGGAGGTCACAGTTCGATTCCTGGTCAGGGCACAAGCTGGATTTTGGGCTTGATCCCCAGTGTGGGGCATGCAGGAGCAGCCAGTCAATGATTTTCTCCCATCATTGATGTTTCTATCTCTCCCTTCCCATTCCCTTCCTCTCTGAAGTCAATAAGAATATATTTTTTTAAAAATGCTAGCAAGGGCAGCAGTCCCACCTCTTTATAACACACACACACACACACACACACACACACACGCATACGTATGCACAGAGTTGCTGGTGAGATCATGGTAAACACTAGCCTGGTTGGGGGATCAAAATAACAGAATGATTTCCCTTCGTGGCTGGCGTAGAGGAACAAATTAGACGGATAAATTAGCAGTTCCCAAAGGCATTAGCCACCACCCAGCTCACACAGTGAGCATCTGACACATGGGGAAGAGGGGGAAGGGCGGGACTCTCCAAGTCTTGGCCTATGAATAGACGCTCTTCCTCCCTCTCGGGGAGGGAAGCCAGAGTGCCCGGAACACCAAGGGGCGAGCCTCTGAATAGTTTTGTTTTAAAAGACAAGCCTAATTACCACTTTTTCTGGCTCCTTGAAGAAAAAGAAAGAGTTCCCCTGCAAGTCTCCATTCACCGGTGAGTTAATCAAGCCTACTCACCACAGATGATGTAATTCGGTGGCTTCTCCAATCAGATCGAGGCCGTCACTCCTCTGCCTCCTCAGCTAATTGCCCTTCTTCACACCTGTTGCTAGTTCCTGGCGCCTATGCCACCTCCTTTCTCCGCCCGGACACTCACAGGTCCTGGTGGACAGCAAGGCCTCGGGCTGATGGGGTGTATCCTTCCCACTTCTGCTCAAGGCCAGTTGCTGTTTGTTGAGTGTGTTGCAAACCCATGGTTGGGGGAGCTGGGCCCCCTGCGGCCCGGTTATCTATCTGATGGGTGGAGTCTTCGCTCCTGCAGTGAGCGCTCAGACCGCATGTGCTCTGCGTGGAATCTCCAGATTTCCAGGGGAGGTCCTCTGTGCTGTGCCAGACGGCAAGGCTGGATGGCCCCAATCCTGCTCAGACCCTCAGGCTCGGGCTCAGAATGTGGAGGAGACTGAGGACCCACAGCTTTGCACGAGCCCCCGCGGGCCCTCCAATTCCAAGAACCATCTCTCACCTGTTCACGCGTAGCTCCCTCTCCCTCCCACGGCGCCACCCTTTTCACTTCTCTCCTGCACCATCAGTGAGTAAGTATCTACTCCTTTCGCCCCTGCTGCCGGCTGTACAGCAAGTTCGGAGGCTCACACAGCCCTGGACAAACTTAGAGAAGGTATGCAACCTCTCAGAACCTCAGCACCCTCATTTCTAAAACAGGGACCCTGGCGCCCACCTGCAGGGCAGTGGAGTGGATTAAATGAGACAGCAACAATTTCACTGTATGCATTTGGTCACCTCCTAGTTAGAAGTTCGAATCATATTTGGTTCTTCTTCTGAACCCTCAGGGCCTGGGACCCTTATAGGTGTACAGAAGCCAGTCAGACATGGTTGTTCTTTATTGGCTGAATAACATTGACTCCAGTCTCTCCTTTCCCTTGTTTTTACCACAAAACTCTTATCAGCTGCTCCCCTGGCCCTGCCTCTTTGATCCTGGGCTTTGGGGCCATTCCAGGCTCCCCTTTCCCTGTGCCCCATTCCCTAGCAAGCCCACTGACTCCTGAAGTCCTGGTGCGCTTGCTACTGCTGCCACCCCCTGAAATGGCTGCGTCCCCATGTGGGCCTCGTCTGTCAGTTGCCTCTCGCCCCGCCCCGCGCACCCCTACCCCCATGTTGTTTGTCTGCTGGGCTGGGCTTTATCCGAGGGTGACAGCTCACCAGACCTCACCCCTGAGTCTCTTCCAAGCATTCGCAGCCCACCCTGGTCCAAAGATATCTTTTATAGCTGATCTCTGCGGCACCTCCTACCTTCCAATTAGGAGCTTGTCAACACCCCAGCCATCACTCTTCCTACAGCGGCTGACAAGGCAGGCTGCTCTGGGAGAGTGAAGCAAAATTATTTCCCTGGTGGTGGAGGTGGTGCTGAGCATGGGAGCTGGAATCTAGGTGAATCGGAATCTAGTTCAGCCGTCTTATTCTACAAATCGGTGTCTTGTCTTTGAATGTGCAGCACCAAGCACAGTGTTTGGCATATAGTAGGCACTCAATAAATGGCCACACGTGAATTGAAAAGGCCAAGGACACATTCTTTTTCTTTTTCTTAATATAGATTTTTATTGATTTTAGAGAGGAAGAGAGAGGGAGAGAAACATCAATGATGACAGAATCATGGATCCAGTGCCTCTTGCACACCCTCTACTGAAGATCGAGCCAGCAACTTGGGCATGTGCCCTTGACTGGAATCGAACCTGGGACCCTTCAGTCTGAAGGCTGAAGCTCTATCCAATGAACCAAACCAGCTAGGGCTAAGGACACATTCTTTAGCTACCGGATTCCCCTTCTCAATGCCGGTTGACGTCCACTTCGCTTCTTTCTCTTGTATCTGCAAATAATAAACCTAGCTCCTAATTAGTCTTTCATAGTCTTTTCTTTCCTTTCCTTCTGTGGTTGGAAATAAATTTATACAAGAAAAGAGAGATGTCTGATCCCTCTGTCCTCCTCCTTCCACCTTCTCTACATCCTGGGATCATGGCCAGGCTGTCTGAAGTGCAGGGTCATTTTCAGAAACAGGAGCTGATGCAGGAAGTATGACACAATCTCACATTTTTCTTATCTGGCAGTGTGGTCTGGTGGTTTGCATAGGGGCTCTGCCCGTCGGAAGTCGGGCTTTCTATTTCTGGGGCTTAAGGGAAACCATGTAACAACAGTCTTTACAGCGCCCCTCACTCTTGCTTTCTCTTTCTCTTGTTCTCTGTAATGAGCCCAGAGTGGAATGACTGAGCCACCGCAGCCTGTATTTCAACTGAGAAAGGAAATGTACCACCCTCCTGGCCCCCGACTCAGCCTGGATGGAGGCTGTGAGGGTTTGTGGTAAAGAGATGAAAGATTTCCAGAGAAATGGAAAGTGAGGGCGATGAGCAGGAGCCTGGTTTGGGGCTGAGAGTCTGAAGAGGCAGTGATGACAGTCTTAACCACATCAAACTAAACCCTTTCTCTGACGGCAACGTGAGAGCCTGAAGTCTGAGGGCTCCGAGGAATGGAGATTTTCATCGACTGAGCAGTGCCGGGTGTACCTGGGAAAGGAGGAGGGGAGTCACCCTTGCTTTGCCCTCCAGGGAGCAAATCCAGAAGTGAGGATGTGGGGAACGCCTTTGATCTGAAATAGACAAGTGGGGGTGGGAGGGGGCAGAGAAAGAACCAAAGAAACAGCAGATTTGATGAAACCAGAAAGGGACAAAATGGAAGGGCGGGGGGCGGTATTAGGATTAGATCTTCGGAAGGGCAGAGAGCTACATCGACACGTCTTTACTGCTTGCCTAAGACAGTTCTCCCAGGGATTTGGGAAAGGCCTCCTGAGGGGGTGTCCGTGTTAAACCAGCCCAGCAGAGATAGAAGCACCAAATCTAGGAATTCCATTGTACCCCAGACTTCAAAGTACATAGAGATTTGAACAGCCTTAAAGTCGATAGAAAACTTTCCACATTTGATCAGATCAGTCTTCTATAACTATGCAAGTTCAGGCTGTATCTAGAAAGAACAGGGCAAGTTAAGGGAAATAGTCATTTAACATGCCATTTCCTTCCTCATTTCTGCCCCCCTGATCTTCGGGCCTCAATTCCTGCTACTGTAGTTGTTGTTTGAACAACCAGGAAGCTATGAGACCTTTTGGGTTATCTTTAGGGTGACACCCTGCAGGAGGTTTTTAGGCTGAGCTGAGGCTGGGCGACCAGATGGCCGGACTATTGCTTTGGGGTTCTGAAGGTCTTCTCTCTACCAGGGCAGTTCAAACAGTAGGTTTCCAGGTTCATTGTATGTGTGCCATTCAGAGGTCCAGACTACAGTGGGAATGTGGTGTTTTATGAGATTCCAGTGATTATTGTGTGATTAAAGTGCTTTAAAGAAGAAAAAACAACAACAAAACAATCTCTCCAAAGGGACAGCATGCAGGACCCTAGCTTTGGAGTTAGGAAAACCTGGATTTGAATTCCGGCTCAGCCCATTATCAGGCAAGCTGCCTTCTCTCTCCACCTCTGCCCTTCACCTCCGTGCTGTTGTGAGGACTTAACAAGATATACAATTGGCATACTTTGGGGCACAAAGTAAGTTGTAATTTATTGCTCTTCTGTCCCAAAGAGCATCCTGAGACTTCATTTATAAATATTTTAAAAAGGGTTTCACTGTGGAGTTACCTCCCCAGCCTACTGATGTTTATGGAGAATACACTTTCAACCACCAGTTACAGCAGCAGAACAGAACCTTACGCCAACAGACATACGGAGGACCTGGCCTCCGCACCTCATGGGCGCATGGCTGCGTAACAGCCAGCAGCTCCCTGCGTCCCCTGCCTGGGCCATGCCCCAGGTGTGCTCACCCGGCCCAGCAGCTCTGGGAAGCAAGAGCAGAGAGGAAACCTGACTCCACCTGCAGACAGACCACCGAGGACAAAACCTTTAGAGCAGCGGTTCTCAACCTGTGGGTTGCGACCCCTTTGGGGGTCGAACGGCCCTTTCACAAGGGTCGCCTAAGACCGTCAGAAAACACATATATAATTACATATTGTTTTTGTGACTAATCACTATGCTTTAATTATGTTCAATTTGTAACAATGAAATTGGGGGTCACCACAACATGAGGAACTGTATTAAAGGGTCGCGGCATTAGGAAGGTTGAGAACCACTGCTTTAGAGGCTGCAGAGCTGCTGCTAGCCCATATGACACCTCTGTAAGAATTAGAAACAGCTGCTCTTTTCTCTAAGCAGGCACAGCTATGTCAGGGTGCTCAGTGTGGCAAGCAGGAAACACGCTGTATTTCAGCCCGGCTCACCCACTTGACGGCACAACCACAGCGATGGCCTGCGCGGGAGCTCCCATTTTATGGGCTGTGGATAGGACTGCAAGGTGGGGGCCTTGAGGGCTCTCTCCACACACTTGACAATACTACCATGTTTGATGGCTGCCCTGTCAAATACAGTAGCCACTAGCCACGTGTAGCTCTTTAGATTTACATTGACATTAATTAAAATTAAATAAAATAAAAAAATTTGTTGGCTCTATCTGGTTTGGCTCAGTGGATAGAGCATCAGCCTGGGGACTGACGGGTCCCAGGTTCGATTCCAGTGAAGGGCACATGCCCAGATTTTGGGCTCGATCCCCAGTAGGGGGCGTGCAGGAGGCAGTGGATAAATGATTCTCTCTCGTCATTGATGTTTCTATCTCTCCCTCTCCCTTCTTCTTTGAAATCAATAAAAAAATATATATATATTTTAAAATGTTGTGCCTCCGTCATAGTAACTTCTTGTTAAGTGCTCAAAAGTCGCAGGTGGCCATTGGCTACCACATTGGACAGTGCAGATATAGAACACTTCCATGTTACAGGGAGTCCTCCTGGATAGCACAGCTCTAGGTGATCACTTTCAGTTGTAGTAGCCACTTCTCTTCCACTCCCCATCATGGGCCATCTTCTCTAGACCTTCAGACCATTCATCGCGTTACCAGTATTGCAGGTCGTATCCAATCACCATACGTTTTGTTCGTGCCATCCTCTCTTTCTCTGTCCTTCCTCGGCCAATAACTGCCCATCTAATAACATCCCGCCCACTCTTCAAGGCCGGGATCCTATGCGGACTCCCAGACCCCATAAATGGATACTGTTTTCTCCTGACAGCTCCCAAAGCTGTACATTTGTGCTTTGAGACACTTTCTCATCAGGTGTTTGTGAGCCCGGTGTCCCCTGCTCACTGCGTGCCCTGGAGGGCAGGCACCTGCCTTATTCATCTGGGTGCCTCCCGGGCCTGGTGAGAAAGCCCCTGTGTGAGGAAGGCATCTCTGGAAGGATACATTGCTTGCACACGTCAAGGAGGCTCTGGGTGGGACACCTTGGAATATGTTTGCATACAGTGCTTTGAGCTTTGCAGGTGGTGCTTTGCATTCAACTCCTCCAGGGCCCAGAGCACTGCTAGATGGGTACTCGCTTCCCTAACTCCCGGAAGAGGGAGCAGAGGGTAAGAGATGGGCAGTCATCCAAAGTGACTACTCAGCCAGAAATGGCAGAGTGGCATTTGGGCAGAGGCCGTCCTGTCTCCAGAGCCCAGGCGCTGGGGGGCCTCTTATTTGAGGGCGTGCCCTGAGGACCCAGCCCAGCAGACCTGCATTCGCTTATGTTAGGCAGGAGCTAGGAGGAGCTCGGTTAAGCAGAAGGTCCTGGGCAGCTGCACGTGGATGCATGCCCTCCCCCCATGCACTTCCCCCACCTCCCAGGGGGAAGACTTGTCTCTGGGACCCTTTCTCAGGGCTTCATTCCTCTGGAAAGAGCTGGGACAGGCCAGAGACACCGCCCCCGCCCCCACGCCCAACTCATCTTCTCCTTTTCCTCCCTAACTGCTGGGTGTTGCTTCCTGCTAACTTGGGCACAGCAGAAAGGCTGGGAGGGGGCTCGTACCCAACTTTCCTTTCTGCCTCAGCTTCAGGTCGGATGCTCTCGTCTCCCCTCTGTCTTCAGAGCCATCATTTTCACAGCAGGCCTAGGTGAGCCGGGCAGTTTTATGATGACATAAAAAATATTGTCTTTCTGCAAGAGGCTTGCGTGTCATAACCAACTCGGGGCATCTTATTACTGAAGTTCTTCCTGTCTGTGGAGAGACATTTTGTACTCAAAACTTGTTTAAAAAAAAAAAGTGTGGGCAAACGGGGGTTGAGGGGGGCGCGAGGGAGGAAGCCTGGGTTGTCTGGCACAGCCTGTTCTCCCATGTGCCCCCAACAGGTTTCTGGGGGCACAGCACTGAGGGGCAAGGGCAGTAATTGCCAGACTTGAATTTCTACCTCCCACCACACTCACCTCGGTGGTTTTCCCTTTTTCTGTCCTTGTCCGCCTTTAAATGCTCATTGTCTTGTTTGCCATTTTCTCTCACTTCTGCTCACGTGTTAGATCTCCCAGTGAGTGCCCCAGGCACCATGTGCCCCCCCCCCCCCCCCCGGGGTGCTCAGCCCAGAACATACTTTGATGTGGTCTCCTAGCTCCGGCTGACCCCTTTTCTACCTTCTCTGCCTAATGCTTTGAGGTCCAGATTCTACGAGTACAAAGGGGTTGAACTGTGAGCCAAGAAACACACAGAACGAGGCAAACACCGCCTGTGAGGAGCCAGGTCGATCGCCTCCTGGCAAACCACCTTTCTCTCCGACCCTGCCCGCCCAGCCTCGGGCCCCCTGTGCCTGTGAATCTGACGGTGGCAACCTGATTCTGAGCACTGGCGTTCCTGGTCTGGCTTTCCCCCTGTTAGTGACACGGGCTGAGCCTGATCTCCAGGCTGGGACCAGCCCGGGAACCTATACCTGCTCCTGGTGCTGCTTCGGCTTTGGTTTGGCATTTTCCCCCTGGGACTGTCCCCCAGCTCTGTATCCACCCCAAAAGTGGTCCCCCAGCAACAGACGAGTACTTTGTTCATTCAACTCCCTGCCTTCCTTATTTATCAATAAGAAGTTCGCGTGAGTTTCCCTGCTTGTAAACTAAGAGCTTCCTGCGACTACAGGCTGCCTTTTAGGGAGATAGAACCTTTTCCCTAGAAACGTTTAGAAGTGTATTTTGAATATAACAGAACAGGGTTTTGATTTGTTTTGTTTTTTAAAGTACACAGTGGTTTTCTCATTGCTATAATGACAGTCGCAGTCACTTGTTGGCACTGTATCACCAGGGGCTGAAAGACAGAAACTGGGTTGATTGTCACAAAATGGTCCAGATAAAAAAAGGCTGAGACATGAACCCTGAGTCATGTAGCCCGCTGCAATGTATATCTAACCACTTTACGTTTAGCCTCGGCCATGGCAAGTTTCCCTGATTTGTGAACATAAAATGGCTTATATTTTTATATAAGCCACTTTCCTGTGGGTTATTTCTAACCTGCAGCTTTTTTTCCAGATTTGCCTTGACCCCAGTGGTGGCCGTCAGAGAGCAATGCTTCTCAGTAGATGCTCTCAGTCCCAGAGTAGGACCAACAATTAAGTAGAACAATAAGGAACACATTGTCTGTTCAGCCTCCCTTCCTGCTCTTAAGTTCACAGAACACCCTGCCACCTGGACAGCTGATGCGTGTGTGCTTAAAATAACCCAATTGAATGTATGTGTAAAAGACACAAGTACGAAACTCTGAAAGGAAAACCATCAAAATAATTAAAGTAGCTGCATACATGTGGTGATATTAATGAAAGATGTGTCTTTTTCTTTACTCTTTTCCTAAAATAACTGTATTGCGATTTCTCACTTAAATAATTAAGGGTGATAGCATTAGACCCTGGCCCAGGAGCTCAGTTGGTAGGAGCATCATCCTGACACAGCAAGGTTGCGGGTTCAATCCCCAGTCAGGGCACATATAAGAAGCAACCAATGAATGCATAAAGGAGTGGAACAACAAATGGATGTCTCTCTCTCTCTCTCTCTCTCTCAAAATCAATAAATTACAAAAATAAAAAGCAATATCATTAATTCAACATAATAATTTTTAAGTACTGCCCTAGCCAGTTTGACTCAGTGGATAGAGCGTTGGCCTGCGGACCAAAGGGTCCCGGGTTCAATTCCGGCCAAGGACACGTACCTTGGTTGCAGGCTCCTCCCCAGCCGATCAAGGCTCATGCAGGAAGAAACCGATCAATGTGTTTCTCTCACATCGATGTTTCTCTCTGTCTTTCCCTCTCTCTTCCACTCTCCCTAAAAATCATTGGAAAAATATCCTCGGGTGAGCATTAACAAAACAACAACAACAACAAAATTTTAAGTACTTTATTATTCTTTCAGTGTTTATTGAGCGCATATTATGTGCCAGATTCTGCTCTGGGTGCTAAGGACACAAGGTGAATAAGACACAGTTCCTTCTCTCATAGAGCATCTAGTCAAATAGGGGGACAGGTCAGAAACAAGTCATTATATAAATCTATTCATTAGTGTATTCCACAAATACTTACTAAGCACCTACTGTGTGCCAAAAATGTTTGTAAGCACAAAATGGGGACCAGCCATGAACACAGCAGGCAAACGTCCTTGCCTTCGTGGAGCTCCTATTCTCATGGATGTAGCTATTGATTTATTTTTAATTAGAATGAATATCATGAAGGAAAAGTATAGGGGGCCTGCCTAGTCTGAAAGGTCAGAGATGACGTCTGAGGAAGTGACGTAGTTTAAGAGCCTCAGATAAAACAGGGCTTTGTTTTGCCCTCAGGGCCCGAGGCAGCTTCTGTGGACAGGGCAGGAGGTGTGCTAGGTGACAATTCGGGCGGATGCTCCCTCTGAGGTCTGTCTCTCAGTTCTGTCTGCCGCAGTGTGTAGCCTGGGCACGAGGCTACACAGGCCGCAGGCTGGCGGTGGGCAGGGGGATTTGGGACCAAGTTTCCATTTGGGCGTCAGCGCATTCTGTCTGGGAAGTCCCGATGCAGAAAAAGCAAGGCCGTCCTCCCTGCCTGGCGCAGACAGTAATTAATGGACCTTCCTTCCCCAGACAGGAAAACTGGAGCAGAGAGGACCAAGGCAGCCTGTGCCAGAGGCGCCTCTCCATCACTGGTCAGGAGGGAGCAGCTGCTCCATTTCTTTGGCCCTCAGACCACGGAGCCCCGGGTCACCAGCCTAAACCGCTTAATGCGCATCACGCCTGGGTCTCCTTGGAAATGGCTGAAGCACTTAAATGGAACGCCCCACCTTTGTCCTCCGCTCCAAAACCACAGGTAAGTTTTTAGGTCTGTGTTGTATCGATCGCGCCTCCCACCAGCAGCAGGAAACCCGCGGTGAAGCAAGCCCACTTTGCAGTGACAGGGAAGTCATTCCCCTAATCCGCTCTCACTGGACAATCGGGTTGACAAAAACCATTAAGTTTTCTGAGATTAGAGATTCACTGTCAGAGGGAGCCATGTCTGGAGTTTTCCACTCCATTACACCCAGGACAATAACCAGAGGCCAAGTGACAGGAAAAGGCTGGGGCTTTTTAAAAGTTGCCCGTGTCCTCGGGTGGAGGGAATGAAATTAACAAGCGCCTCCCTTTTGTAGGACACGGGATATATATTATCTCATTAATCAATGCAACAGCTTATGAGGAGGGCTCCGTTTATTGCATTTGATGGAAGAACACGCTGGGGCTCAGCAGGATTCGGTCACTGTCTGAGGTCAGCTAGCTGGTTAGTGTGACATGGAGGGAAGAATCAGAATCGCTGGGCCAGAGGGGTCTAGAGGCAAATGACCTACTTTCTTGTAGGCAGAACTGCACTTGAACCATCCTTGAACCCATTTCGCTCTGAAAGATGCCACCATTCTGTAGCAAGTGGAGGCGGGCTGGGACAGTGATTAAGACCACAGACCAGCAGCTACGTGTCCACACGTCAGCCCCTCCTCTCTATGTGACGTGGGGCAAGTTCCTTCACTTGTCGCAGTCTCCTTCTCCTCCCCTGATTCATGAGGAGGTAAGAACCTAAACCATCCATCCTGTAAGGGCTCTGGGGCTTACATGAGATCACGTGTATAAAGCATTTAGCATACTGCCTGGCACGGGCCAAGCATTGAAAATAAGAAGTCAGTTGGTAATAGGAAGTAACTTTTTTTACTTATATTTTTATTATACGTTTATACAACCACATTGTCAAAGATTTGGAAAATAGAAAAAAAGGGGGGGGGGAATCACACCTATTTGTAACTACTATCTATATATATTTAAAAGCCTAAGTGACTGAACGACCAAATGACCGAACGACCAGTTGACCAGTCACTATGATGCGCACTGACCACCAGGGGGCAGGCACTCAATGCAGGAGCTGCCCCCTGGTTGTCAGTGTGCTCCCACAGCCAACCTCCTATGGCTGGCCAACCTCCTGTGGTCCCTCCCCCTGGCCGGCCGGCCAGCCCCGCTCAGGACTGGGCAAGACAGCCCCGATGGCCTCAAACACTGGCCAGGCCGAGGGACCTGCACGAATTTGTGCACCAGGCCTGTAGTTATCCTTATAACATATTCCTTTCATTATGTTTCCAATGCATTTATTTTCCCCTCAGATATGATTATATTTTCTTTGCAACATTGTGTGATTTTTCCCCCACTTAGCATTGTATTAAAATCATTTATCCATCTTGCTGCAATCTTTATTTTATTTATTTATTTATTTATTTTTAAATCCTCATCCGAGGATGTGTGTGTTTTTTATTGATTTTAGAGAGAGGAAAAAAAGAGAGAAACATCTATGTGAGAGAGAAATATCCATCAGTTGCCTCTTGTATGCACCCTGACCAGGGATCAAACCTGCAGTTAATTATGTGCCCTGACTAGGAATCAAACCCATATCCTTTTGGTGTACAGGACTAAGCTCCAACCAACTGGGCCACCTGGCCCTGGCTACAGTCTTCATTTTAATAACTATAATATTCCATCATGTAGATGTGCCATAATTTGCTTATCTGTTCCTCTGCTGCCTGACCTTTGTTTTCAGTAATGCTGAGGCAAACATTTTGGTGGACACTGTTTGTACAGACTGTACCTCTACCTGAACATTTGCCACACTGGATGGCAATGAAGGTTCTGGAAGGCAGGAGTTTCCTCATTATTGTACCTTCAGCTTGTAGATCTGACACTGAGTCTGAAGTTTGGGGTCAAAAACTTTCCCCATTTTGAATTTTAATTTCTTTAGGATATATTTCTGGGAATGAAATTAGTGAGTTATATGTCTTTTTTTTTTTTTTTTTTTTTTTTTTGCAGGGAGGAGAGGAGAGAAGGGTTCAATAATCAGAGTTTTACCAAATAGTTTTTTCAAAGAGGTTGTCCTAATAGGCCCTGCTACCAGTCAATAGTGAATTTTTACTGTCCATCAACTTCATGTTTTTTCGTGAACAAATTAAAGGGAGAAAAACATCCAGAGCCCAAAACAACTGAAACACTATTGAAGAGAAGAACACGGTAGAAAGACCCCCGTTAGCTATTTTACTGTAAAGCTGTAGTAATGAAGCGGATAGACAAATAGGCCAGTAAAAAAGAACAGAAACATACATGTATATGGATATTTGCTGGATAACAAAAGTAGTCCCAAAGATCAGTGGGGAAATGGTGGTGTTCCCATAAGTGGTATAAGAAAAATTAAGCATCCGTTAAATGGAATTGGACTCCTGCTTCGGACCAGGCACAAAAAGTCAATTCCAGATAAACTAAGACGTAAGTGTGAAAAGTAAAATCATAAAGCTTTTAAAAGATAACACAAGACAATATCTTCATAATCCCAAGGTAAGGGAAGGTTTCCTAACATACAAAAAAAGTTTGATGAGTTTGACTATGTTAAAATTAAAAAACTTCTGCTCATTTAATAACACCATCCTACGGTGAGAAGGCAAGCCCCAGGGTAGGGGAAGATACTTACAACACACATCAATGGCAAAGGAATTGTGTCCAGAATGTGTAGAGAAAGGGACAGACAACCCCACCAGGGCAAAACATTTGCACAGGCATTTCCTAAAATGGAAATCCAAACAGCCAATAAACACTTGAAAATGTGCTTATTGCCTGTTAATAATCGGGAAATTCAGACGGGAACCCCAATGTGGTACCACTGCGCAACCAACAGATCGGTTAAAATTTTAAATCTGACAAAATGAAGTGTTGGTAAGGATGTGGAGCAACAGGAACTTCCATCCACTGCTGACAGTAACATACAGGGGTGCAGCCACCATAGACACTGGCATTTTCTGGGAAAGGTGTTACAGTGCATACTCTTCAACAGTCATTCCACCCAGAAGCATGCATTCTAGATCAGGTCTGAACAAACTTATTCTGTGACCAAAAAGTAAAATGGTCTCTGTCACAGCTATTCGGCTCTCCTGAGCGTTACATAAAGCATTGCCAGACGCGCTTAAGGAAATTGACATGGCTGTGTGCCGATAAAACTTTATTCCTGGACACTGACATTTGGATTTTATATACTTTCTATGTAGCATGAAATATTCTCTCTCTCTCTCTCTCTCTCTCTCTCTCTCTCTCTCTCTCTCTCTCTTAAAATTGTTTTATTTTTTCAGCCATTTAAAAATGGCTCATGGGCCATGGAATAGCAGATGGCAGGCCAGGTGTGGCCTGTGGGCCACAGTGTGCCAACCACTGCTCTCCAGTGCTACACAAGGGGTGTTGCAGGGGTGTTCCCGCCTCATTATCACCTAATAATTTGTTGCAAATGAAAGTATATGGGCACCACCCTAGACTTACTGAATCAGAATCTTTAAGGAGCAGGGCCAGGAATCTGCACTTTAACAAGCTCCCGACCATTTCCACATACGCTGAAGTTGGAGAATCAGAGCTGTGGAGAAGCTCGTATATATGCGCACAGGGATCTGTGTGTGAGAATGTTCATAACAGCATTATCTGTAATAACCGCACCCTGAAAACAACCCAAATGCCTCGGACCCATAAAATGTCCAACAGCAGTAAAGTAGATAAGTGGGATCATATTCAGGAACGAAATACATATTGGAATCTTACTCAAGGATACATGTTAAAAAGGTAACAGTGGACACAACAGAACAAATCCAGACACGAAAGACGATAGACTCTCTGATTCTGTACAACAATATAAAGTTCAAAAATGGACAGTAAATTATGCCACTTTGGGGTGAATGCTTAAGGTGACAAGCGGTAAAGTGAGACAAAGAAACTGCTCTCATCAGAGTCAGGAGCATGACCTTTGGGGGGCAAGAGGCCCTTGTGTTTAGAAAGGGGTACCTGGGAGGCGTCTGAGGGCTGGCAACGTCCTATTTCTTGACTTGGGTATAGGTTACATATGTATTCACTTCATAACAATTTGTTAAAGTGCACATTTATGTTTCGTGCGCTTTTCTCGTGTGATATATTTCACAATAAAAACTTACAAAGAAAAGCAACTGCCAGGAATGGCGCCTTTCTGAGCCAGCCCCGTGTGCGGAACCTGCCAGATCCACTTCACACCTTGACTTCCCGCCTGGTCGATTCCCTGTAGCCCACCCAACTGCAAGTTGCAAATTTATAGGCCATCTGAGCCCAGATGGTTTCCTGTGATAGCTGCTAGGGGCATAATAATGAGTACACGTCTCCCCACACGGTCCTGAATGCGTTTTGGCAGGATTTTTACTGCGGGCAGTAAAACCTTCTTACAGAGCCCCTCACTGTCTGAGGGGCTTGGCCGCATCGCGGTTGAGCCCACTGCCTCCTGTTACCGGCGGCTCATCATCCTCATCCCATACAGCATCCTTGAGAGCTGGCTTTCTCTCCCTTGTCCTACAAGGCCGTTTGATGGATTGTTACCAATAATCATTGCCTTTCAGAAACCCCCCAGTTCCTGTCCTCACAGCTGGAACTTCCTCTTCGCACTAATTGGAAAAACATCCTCCGGGGAAGGGCCCATCTTCACTGAGTGAATCTTTGGTGGTGACTACATCAGCTGGTAAGACGAAGTTGACAGCAAGGAGGTGAAGGCTCAGAACCCCACCCTCTTCCCACTAGTACACTGGTCCCAGGCCTGAGTCCAAGAAACCAGACTGGCCTGACGGATAACCGGATCCCCATTTGGAAAAACTAAGGGTCCCACGAGGAAAGAGCTAGCTGGAGAGGCTGGGGTCAGTCCAGGAGCCTAAGCACCGTGCCCACTAATGGTCCCCCCCCTCGCCCGTTTTCTTCCCGTTCTTCCTCACTAAGAGTCCCCCTGAGTATGAGCTGCGTAATGAAGATCACCTTTATGACCGTGTGACCAAATTCTGAATAATGAGAACCAACCAGAAGCGATATAAGGAACTTCCCAGAAGAATCCTTACAGAGTGACTGCAAGTCCTCTTTCCTTCCTTTTGGCAGGAACCTGGCTGGAGCGTTAGCAGCCCTTTTGCACAATGAGGTGACTTTGGAGATGAAGTCCATGTTGCTGGAGAGCGAAATGCCATACCAGCCCTGGAGTAACGTCAAAAGAGACAGAAGCCCTGACCGGTTTGGCTCAGTGGATAGAGCACATGTCAGCCAGTGAGTCGGCCTGCGGACTGAAGGGTCCCAGGTTCAATTCCGGTCAAGGGCATGTACCTGGGTTGCGGGCACATCCCCAGTGGGGAGTGTGCAGGAGGCAGCTGATCGGTGTTTCTCTCTCATCAATGTTTCTAACTCTCTATTCCTCTCTGTAAAAAAAATCAATAAAATATATTTAAAATAAAAAGAGAGAGACATAAACCTCTATCTTATTTAAGCCACCGCTTTGGGGCATTTTCTGTCACTTGTAGATGAACCCAGATCGTAAGTGATAGCCTTTTTCATAAAGCTAACAAGTGGGAGCAACCTCAGTGGCCCATAGAGGGGACGGTTCCCTCATGTGCTTACTCATTCATCACGTTTTTAATGAGTGCCTCCCACATGCCTGCCTCTGATCTAGGGATGGGGGATCTAGTGGTTAAAAAAAAAAGAAGTCTCTGCTTTAAGAACTGTGTTAGAGGAGAGCAACTAAGATGGCGGCATAGGTAAACACCGGGAAATTATCGCCTCACACAACAATTGAAAATTACCCCAAAGGACTGAGCAAACACCATCCAGAACAACAGGAAGGCTGGCTGAGTGTAAATTCCACAACTAGAAGGAAAGAAAAGCACGCTGAGAGCCAGAGGCGCTGCGGAGGTGAAGTGCAGAGGTACGGCGGCGCGCGTGCGAGGAAAGGGGGTAGCACCTGAGGACGCGGCTGACTTTTTGAGTCACAAGCTCCTGACTGCTCTGAACTCCGGTTCCGGGAAGTCTCTGGGGACCCAGGACTCATACGGGGAGAGGCTGGTCTGTCCGGCAGCGAGCGAACTTGAGGGCGGCTTTCCCTCAGACGTGCTTGCAGCCGTTACCGGGACACTGAGACCCGCGACTCCGGGCGGAGAATCAGCCATAGCTCCTTGATCCGCCCTTTGACTCCCTGAGACCCCGCCCCACCCAGGCTGCGGCAGAGGCTTTTGCATGTGAATGTACCTAACTGCAGCCGAACCAGGCAGACCTGGAACTTCCAAGAGAAGGCCCAAGGCCCCGCAGCGGCTTGCATTGCTTCACAGCTGAGCCTCTTCGTGGCTCCTGCTGTGTGGCCTCAGGCAGAGGCTGAATTAGCACCTCCTTAGATCCAGGAGCCACTGTACCCAGTGGTCAGAGGGGGTCCATCCAGACTGCAACTCCTCAGATCCATAAGGGACGCACTCAGGGAGCAGACTCAGTGAGCACCAAAGCCCCACTGAAGCAAGTCTTGCCCCAGAAGGGTGTCTTCAGCACAGAAGTTCTCCCACTTTAGACACAGCTGATTCTCACAGCCAATTGGCCTGGAGGTCAATTCCTCCCAGTGATTCTACAACAACCAAGGCACCAAGAGTGCACCAAGAGTGTCCACCCCAGGTAACTGGGGAGGCTGAGCTACTGGGCCCTACAGGACACCTGGCGCACAGGGCCACTCTATCAACACAGGGAAGCTGCCAAAATGCAGAGACAAAGAAACAGGTCACAAATGGCAGAAATGGAGGAAAGCAAACGATTGGATATAGAGTTTAAGGCCACGGTTATAAGGTTTTTCAAGAATTTTATGGAAACCGCCGATAAATTTAATGAATCCCTCAATAAGTATAGGGAGACCATGGAGGACATGAAAAAGGACCAACTAGAAATTAAGCATACACTGACTGAAATAAAGAATAATTTACAGAGATCCAGCAGCAGAAAAGAGGATCCCAAGAATCAAGTCAAAGATTTGAAATACAAAGAAACAAAAAATACCCAACCGAAAAAGAAAAAAGAAAAGAGATTCCAAAAATATGAAGATAGTGTAAGGAACCTCTGGGACAACTTCAAGCGTACCAACATCAGAATTATAGGGGTACCAGAAGGAGAGAGAGGGCAAGATATTGAAAACCTTTTTGAAGAAATAATGACAGAAAACTTCCCCTACCTGGTGAAAGAAATGGACTTACAAGTCCAGGAAGCACAGAGAACCCCAAACAAAAGGAATCCAAGGAGGACCACACCAAGACACATCATAATTAAAATGCCAAGAGCAAAAGATAAAGAGAGAATCTTAAAAGCAGCAAGAGAAAGACAGTCAGTTACCTACAAGGGCGTACCCATACGACTGTCAGCTGATTTCTCAACAGAAACCATGCAGGCCAGAAGAGAGTGGCAAGAAATATTCAAAGTGATGAATAGCAAGAACCTGCAACCAAGATTACTTTATCCAGCAAAGCTATCATTCAGAATAGAAGGTCAGATAAAGAGCTTCACGGATAAGAAAAAGCTAAAGGAGTTCATCACCACCAAACCAGCATTAGATGAAATGCTGAAAGGTATTCTTTAAGAAGAGGAAGAAGAAAAAGGAACTCTTACCATTTGCCACAGCATGGATGGAACTTGAGAGCGGATAAACACCACAGGATCTCACTCATTTGTGGAATATAATGAACAACATAAGCTGATGAACAAGGACTGATCCAGAGACGGAGAGGCATTGATTGGACTGTCGGGACTTGGAGGGAAGGTAGGGGAGGGTGGGGGTAAGGGGGAAAGATCAACCAAAGGACTTATATGCAAGCATATAGGCCTAACCAATGGACATGGACAACGGGGGGGTGAGGGCATGAGCGGGGGTGGGGGGGGGTGGGGGGTAGAGGGTAACGTGGGGACAAGGACACATATGTAATATCTTAATCAATAAAAAAATTAAAAAAAAAAAAAGAACTGTGTTAGAAGAGGAGGCAGGAGGCATACATAAATGGACAACTAAAATATGGCTTAATTAGTGGGACCATAGAGGCTGGTGGTTTAAAAATATATTTAATGAGATGGGGAAAGTGCTCATGACATGTTGCTAAAAACAGTAGGTTATTAAAGACCGTGCAGAGTATGTCCAATTTATCAAACAGCACATGTGTTTGCATGGAGAAAAGACAAAACCGACGTATGCTGTGAACACCCTGAACAGCATTGGCATCCAGGAGGTGAACGATACATGGTTAATGAATGAAAGAATCAACTTCGGGGCGAAGAGGCTGTTTTCTCCTCTGCATGTTTTTACACTTTGCCAATGTTGCCCAATAAATATGTATTACTTTTGTAATAAGGAAAAAAAGAGCACCTTTAGGAAACAAGGTGGATTATGAAGTTGAGGACCAAGCTGACATGGGCAGAGTAGTGATTTTTGTTAGGAGGCAAACTAAGTTGTGCTAAAGAGTCTCAAAAAAAAAAACACAAAAAAACAAAAACAAAAAACCACTCCAGCTTGGGGTCGGAGTTTGGCCTCTCCCTGAGGGGAGGACACTGGGAGGGTCTTTGCTTTGCCCTTGCGCTGTCTGGAAGCGCGGGGACGTCTGCCCAGGGCTTTGTGCTACGTTTTTAGTGGGGCAGGGCTCACTGCAGCCAAGTTATTAAGCACCAGCCCTATCACTTCCCTTCCCATGGCTCCCCTCTGCTGGGCCTCCTGCTCCTCCATGAAAGCAGCTGTTGTTGTTTGGTGGAGGCTAATTAACTCCGCACTGCATGAAGCCAGCCGCTAATTGGCCCACTCACTTAATCAACTTTAATGTCTCGCTTCTGATGGACCCGCCGCTGCTTTTTGTTCCCTTGATCGCCAACAAATGCAGACCCAGGGGAGTGGCAGCTACAGCCTCCGGTGGGCACAGGCAGTCCTAACCCCGTCACCTACCCAGGGGCTGTGGAGGCTCCTTCGACCCTCCGTTGGCTCAGGGACAGACTCCGAAGTTCACGATCACCAGAGCATCTTGGGAGCTGAGCTTATTGCTTCTCGTCTAAACATTGCATGATGATCTGAGTCATCAAATGCTCGGCTCCTCGAGAGAACTGGCCTCATCTCTGTGTGTTGCTGACACGTATTTAAGGCTCTAAAACTGAACTGACTTACACAACTGCTGCAGCTACCTTTTCCTGAGCGTGGTTGTTTTCAGGGCAGACGCTGTGCCAGTCTCTTCCCAAGGCAACCCGAACACGCCTTGGCTCAGGGTAAGTACGCAATACGTACTTGTAAGGCAGTGGTTCTCAACCTTCCTAATGCCTCGACCCTTTAATACAGTTCCTCATGTTGTGGTGACCCCCAATTTCATTGTTACAGATTGAACATAATGAAAGCATAGTGATTAATCACAAAAACAATATGTAATTATATACGTGTTTTCCGATGGCCTTATGCCAGTGGTCGGCAAACTCATTAGTCAACAGAGTCAAATATCAAGAGTACAATGATTAAAATTTCTTGTGAGAGCCAAATTTTTTAAACTTAAACTATATAGGTAGGTACGTTGTTATTAACTTAATTAGGGTACTCCTAAGGCTTAGGAAGAGCCACACTCAAGGGGCCAAAGGGCCGCCTGTGGCTCAAGAGCCGCAGTTTGCCGACCACGGCCCTAGGCCATCTGTCTTAATCATCACGGCACCAATGAGCACATAGGTGCTCCATAAAATTGTTGCGTGTGTCTAAGTAAATGAAAAGCATACACAGGCCCAGGATGGGTTTTCCTTTGACCCAGTTAGGGAAGAATCGTGTCTATGGTCATCCCATCAGCGCTCTAACCAGTTTGGCTCAGTGGCTAGAGCGTCGGCCTACGGACTGAAGGGTCCCAGGTTTGATTCCGGTCAAGGGCATGTACCTTAGTTGTGGGCACATCCCCAATAGGGAGTGTGCAGGAGGCAGCTGATCGATGTTTCTAACTCTCTATCCCTCTCCCTTCCTCTCTGTAAAAAAATCAATAAAATATATTAAAAAAAATAAAAAGACAGGTCGGAAGGCCATTTAAGTTTTGAATAAACGCGAAAGTCTCGGTCCATGCAACTTTAAATTCACGGTTTTCGTCTTCCCTTTTTCTTTGCTTCTTCTTTGTAGCCATGTCAAACAGGGCACCTAAAAAATGTTTCATTGTGTAATAATAAAGCCACCAACACAAAAGAATTACAATTCTCAAATTGATGACAAAAATACCTGTAGGATTTGCAGCTGGTTGGAAAAATTCAGGTAACTTTATGCTTCGAGTAGGTACTTTTGTCACCCACGTGCGAT